GGTTGAAAGCTGCGCGGTGGCCGAGGCCCACCGAGAAGCAGCTGGCCTTTGCACAGGAGCTCGCGCAGCAGGCAGGCATCAAGGTGCCGGACGAGGTGCGCGAGGACTTCGCGGCTTGCAGTGAGTTCATCGAGCGTTTGAATGCTGCGCGGGAGCCGAGGCCCACCGAGAAGCAGCTGGCCTTTGCCCAGGAGCTCGCGCAGCTGGCAGGCATCAAGGTGCCGGACGAGGTGCGCGAGGACTTCGCGGCTTGCAGAGAGTTCATCGAGCGTTTGAATGCTGCGCGGTGGCCGAGGCGGGGGCCGGGCCCGCCCACCGAGAAGCAGCTGGCCTTTGCACATGAGCTCGCGCAGCAGGCAGACATCAAGGTGCCGGACGAGGTGCGCGAGGACTTCGCGGCTTGCAGTGAGTTCCTCGACAGGTTGAAAGCTGCGCAGGGGCCGAATGCTGCGCGGGCGGCACCGCTGTCGCCTTTCGTGCAGAAGCTTGCGCGCGGCGTGGGCCTGGAGCCGGCAACTGGGGCCCAAACGTGTGCCCCACCGGACGGGGCTGGGAGGAGGATAAAGTCCGTTCCAGAGCGTTCCGGAGCGCTCTCGGAGTGCTCCGGGATTGCTCTGAGGAGGGCGCGGCGCCCGAGACATCCTCCAGAGCCGCTGGATCTCAGAGATTCTCGAAGTATCCGCACCCGATTTGATCCTCGTCCTGGCCTGAAGTCGGGCCTGTCCCTCTACAGGAGGAGCGTTCAAGAAGAGCTAAAAATCAGTATGGGGACGATTTTTCGAGTAGTTTTTAGAATTATTGTTTCCCAACCATCCTGTGGTGTTGGGTCCTTGTTTTGAAGAGACGGTCCCCGCGTTCCTTCTCCTCCCTCCTTCCTCCCTCCTCCCCCTCCCCCCTCCATGCGTTTCACCCACCCAGTACAACGTTTCGTGGCCCCATAGGGAGCTCCACCGAAGGCCCCAGTGCTACCGTCCGCATGCGTCCCCAAACATCCAATTTGGCATTTCCACCCACCCATTACAGCGTGTCGTGGCCCGTAGGGAGCCATCGAAAGCCCCAATGCCACCGTCCGCACGCCTCCCGAACCATCCAATTTTGCATTTCCGCACACCCAGTACAGCGCTTCGTGGCCCCATAGGGGGCTCCACCGAAAGCACCAGTGCCACCGTCCGCATGTGTCCCGAAGCATCCTATTTGACATGTTCACCCACCCAGTACAGCGTCTCGTGGCCACATACGGAACTCCACCGAAGGCCCCGGGTGCCACCGCCCGCATGCGTCCCGAAACATCCAATTTCGCATTATCACCCACCCAGCAGGGAACTCCACCGAAGGCCCCAATGCCACCGTCCGCATGCGTCCCGAAACACCAAATTTCGCATTTTCACCCACCCAGTGAAGCGTTTCGTGGCCCCTGCAATATCGCTCACGTTTATCATTGCCCCAATCCCCTCTCTCACATCTCATGTGCACTGGTTACCCGTGCCTGCTCCCGTTCTCTCCCTCTCACCCGCTGCCTCCGCTGCCGTCTGGGCTTCGGAGGGCCCTTGAGCTGTTTGGCGACAGCGCCCGCTTGTGTGCAACCAGGCGAGAAAAGTCATTGAGGTTCGCAGAGCCCACATTCCAGAGATCCCAAAGGTCCTGTGCATCGGACCACGCTCCGAGAAACCTAGTTTCGAGTTGATATTATTGAATTGGTAGCGCAGAGCAACTTTCCTACGGACAAATGCCGCCATGTCGAGGAGGAGTACACCTCCCAACACGCCACCAGCTGGTGGCCGCGCTGCTGCAGATGAGGGCAATGACGACGATGATGGAGAGTTCTTGGCCAAAGGAGGCACGCGAGGAAAAGGTCGTGATCCACAAGACGATCCTCGCTCCAGACCTCGAGGTAACCTACCGCCGCCTCCAGAGTTCGATGGCAACATGGAGGATCCCAAGATATTCAGACGCTACAAGGCGCAGGTCGAGAACTGGGTTTTGATTGCGAAGAACATCATCGGCCCCGAGGAGATGGCACCAAGACTGTATGCAGCGCTCAGAGACAAAGCTTTCGACCATGTAGAGGACGAGAGCCCGACAGTTTTTGCAGTTCCAAACGGTGTGGAGCTCTTACTCGACAGGTTGGCATATTCCGATCAACGCCCGACGGTCAAGATATGCGCCGCAATGGACGATTTCTTTCACATGGAGCACGTTAAGCCAGGCGAGACCTTACTCCAGCTCGCCACTCGAGTGGACAAGGCAGTGTTCCAGGCAAGGTCGGTAGATTTGGCCATTCCAGATCCAATCATCATTAGGCAGTTCATGAAGAGTTCGCAGCTGGACCACAAGACACAGGCCACATTATTGATGGCCGCAGGTTCGAAGTTCGAGTGGAAGCCCCTGAAGGAGCAAGCGGCTATTCTATTTCCCATGCCGCTGGTGCCGCGCAACAGATTTCAAGGAGATCGCAAGTACAGACCTCAGTATAGTGCTCACGTCACGAACCAGGATACGTACGAGAGGGAGGTCACCGAGCCCGACTACCAGCACGACCATGAGGATTGGCAGGTGACCGACGCAGATTTTGGACATGATGACTCGTACGACAACAGCTGGGAGGAAGATTCCGGCGACTTCTGGGGCGAGCAGCTACCCGAGGCGTTGGCTAGAGAGATTCACACTGCTCATGTTACGTTCAAGCAGGCTCATGATCGTCTCAATCAGGCCAACAGAGCACGAGGTTACTACAACACGAAGGGCAGCAAGGGCAAAGGTAAGCACGGCAAGGGCTACCAGCCGAATCGTTCCGGCAAAGGCAAGGGCAATGACGGAGGCAAGGCACGACGTGGCATGTCGTTGGAGGACCTCAAGAAGGTGACCAACTGCTCGGCGTGTGGCGAGATCGGCCATTGGGCAGGTGACCGCCAGTGCCGAGCGCCAGCCTCCAAGAGAACATCAACTGGCACGACGGCTACACGGAGTGCGAACGAAGCACCACAGTCTTCCGACGCCTGGTGGCCACCTGCTCATCAGCAGCCTGCCCAACCCGAACACGATCAAGATGGACGAACGACTTCAGGCGCATCTTCGGCTTCGACGAGACACGGTTACCGTGCGAACAGATTACCCGCAGTTTGTGAATCTGAGTATGTACATCAGGTCCTAGCGGCGACCAACAATATCCACGAGACACTCGGTACGACGCCGCCTCAGGTTGCCGGTTCACGACGTCAGAGTGCTGTCCGAGAGTGCGGACTTCACGAGACAAGTACATCACAACAAGAGCCCGATCACGCACGACACATCATGATGACGTACGGCAACGGCGGCCAGAGGACGAGGTTCAATACGAAGAGCTTCCATAAGGAGCGCTCGATCTACATGATGACGATGGTGAAGGACGTTTTCAGCACGGTGAACATCGACAGCGACGCCAACCTTCTGGCGCTCGACACTGCGTGCCAGACGACGGTCGCTGGACTGCGAGGGCTTCGACTATTTCAAGAACGCTATCTAGACCGACTGGGTCTACAGGTACGCTCTCAACCCGAACGTGAACAGTATCGCTTCGGCCCTGGCGAGCCGATGACGAGTACAGAACGTTGGTCAATACCAGTCGGAGTTCACGGACGTGCGATGGTTTTGCACGCTTCAACGATTGATGACGTGGCGACGGCTCGTTTACCTTTCCTGGGCGGAAGAGACTTGATGACAGATCTTGGTTGCGTGATCGACCCCGCTGGTTCTCGAGTCCATTTTCTGGTCGCTCAGCTTCCGAACGTACAGCTGGTGATGTCTAAGAGTGGACATCTCGCAGTTCGGATCGACGACTGGCCAGTTACAGGTTTTCCAGTCGACGCAGGCTTTGAGATTGACACATATACAGCTTCGGTGTGCGAGTGCAGCCTGCGAGAGTCGAATCACATCTCACTATCTCTCTGCGATCGTCGGTCAGCTCACGTCACCGATCGAGACAACCGAGATCAACGCGAAGTTCATCATTCCGATCGAGCCGACCGAGAACACCACGACGTACCTTATCCCGAGCGAGTCGAACGACAGCAGCGATGACTACGACACCGCAAGCCCGAACCCGATCGAGCAGTACCTCAGCTACGTCGAAACGTCCCCGATTCGATCGACAAGTTCTATGAGTATTTCCGAGACCACGATTGGGGCCCGGGCCCGGCGGTCCGGGGCGATCTACGAGAATACGCCAGGAGAATGACGATGAGGAACGAAACAGTGACACGGAGATCCATCGACATGTTCCGTTCTCAGCCGAAGCAAACTACACGATCGATACCAGAGCCATTTCGGCGCCAGGTCATTCTAAGAGGACAGCCTCAAACGATCTTCATTCTCCATATCCAGAGACCGTGTATGCCACGGACTCCCAAGGTCACTACCGAAGACCTACGGGCACGATGGGCGATTCTCATTCAGGCAGTGTTTGTGGCCATCAGAATGTTCGACAGGAATCAAAGGTACAAAGTGATCGACAGCTTTCTCGGCAGACAGTTTCCAGCGATGCAGATTCTGTGTCAGGACAAGACCGTGGACAGCTTCATTCCCGATACCAGAACAGGATCACGGACAAGGATGTCATGCGATCAAGATCTGAACAAGACGCGCTGCCATCCTACCAACGGGGAGCACGAGTACACAGTTCCAGCCGGGAGGTTCAAGGAGTGCCTCTATTGCGGGACGGTCTGGAAGGGCGAGAAGTACCAGATCAGGACGAAGGACGTGGTCTTTTGGGATCTCCACGGGACGCGAGAGACTCCAGGCGCAAAGATCGATCGCATCAATCCATCGGTAAGCAGTTCATGCGCGCCGCCTTCCTCGTCGGCTCAGCGCTTGCCTCCATCAGCACGGCCTGGGCGCCCACCTGCGACGCGAAGATCATCGAGTCTACGAAGGAGGAGGTCACCAAGCGCGGAGGCGATGAGCGAGGAGCAGGACTCGAGCTGGGAGCGACCACCTCAGGCGGAAGCCAATTAACGACGGGTCAGGCGAAGAGGTGCTACGGCATGGCCAAGTCCGCCTACAACAACTCGCAGCTCGAGAAGCGCGTCTATGAGAGACGAATGCAGAAGAGCCGCTTTCCACGACGCCAGCGACGCGGCTTCGACATCTACGGGATCTTCGCGGGCGAGTGCGGCATCGCCCTGCATGCCGCCGACCGCGCCAACGGCTGGGGCATGCGAGCTCTCCAACCCGTGGACAAACTGTTCGGTCAGGACTTGAAGAAGCAGAAGGCCAGGAAGGAAGTGCTCGATACGATCGACAGGTGGCGGCCACGCTTGGTCATCATCCAGCTTCCGTGTACACTCTGGTCGCTGCTCAACCGCAACGTCAACTACAAGGAGATGCCCGAGGTGCTGGAGGACCTACGCGATGAGGAGCGGTGCTTCATCACCTTCACGAAGGACATCTTCGATAAGCATAAGGACTACGGCAATCGCGCCCTGCTTGAGAATCCCGCTACTGCCGACTCGTGGCGCGAGGAGGCAATCGTCAAGCTCAGGCAGGACAACTACGAGTGCACCTCGAATATGTGCATGTCCGGCATGGTCGGCAACCAGGGACTCCCCATGAAGAAGTTGGTTCGTTGGTTGGGTACGCATCCACTTCTCATTCAAGAGCTCGACCGACACTGCGACCACAGCCATCCACATGAAGAAGTGCAAGGAGGTGGACCTAATGGCAACACCAAGCTCTCACAGGTCTACACCTGGCAGCTAGCAGACGCCATCTGCCGAGGTCTCACCAGGGTCATCGAGAGCGAGGAGTTCGGACACGGCATCTACCTGTGCAGTTATTACCCCGTCTCCTACGACGCTCCAGCCCCTACTGTGCACCACGTCTGCTATTCGGCTCCCGACGTGGACGAAATAAAGTGGAAGAACATCATGCAATCGGTCGTCGATGTCATGAGTCGAAGGAACGCCCCCTCAGCTCAGGTGGCGCAGGACTCAGAGATGTGGAGGCAGGTGTCCGAATTGGTTCCCTGGCAGATCCTGTGCATGCAGGCCGCCTTCCAGCCGAAGGCGAAGCGTCTTAAACCTGAGTATGGTCCAGACGCTCATAGATGTTCCGTTCTTCTACTCGAAGATAATCGCATCGTCGTCGAGCATGAGTACGTCCCAGAGGCCTACGCACCACGAGAACGATTTCAAGACCCAGTACGCTACGGTTTGTTCATTATCGGACGTGCTCCAGTCGGCGAAGTACCAGCACCACCTCGACCACCAGTCGAAGGCGAATCACGACAGCCAGTACCAGTACCCGACGAACCACAGCCAGACGAACTTCAGCCTCAGCCTGTCCAACAACGGGCTGGCGACGAGATTTGGTTCGCCGGACCTCCGCTCACGCCGGAGGAGAAGCGTGCCGCCCCCATCGTTGCTAGGATGCACCAGAACTTGAGCCACCCGCTGCAGGCTGATTTCACGAGGTTCCTGAACGCGAGCGACGCGAGCCAGGTTGCGATTGATCTCAGCCGACGTCTGCGATGCAGTTCACGTTTACGAAACGTCAAACCACGACGCCCACGGCCCGCCAAGATTCCATATATGGGTTCGTTCAATGCTCGAGTTGGTTTGGATTTCTTTTACCTACCTGATTCTGCTCTTACGACACATCAGTTCTTGGGAATTTTGGAGATGTCAGGTTTACTGATGGTGGTGGTTCATTGTCCGACTCGTGATCCTACTCAGTTGCTGGAAATTTTTAATTTGGCTTGGTTATCTTGGGCTGGTCATCCAGATCATGTGGCGTGCGATCGTGATGGAGCTTTCCAGGCCGCTTTTGTTGAACATCTTGAGGCCCACGACGTTCACGTCGAGAAGCCCCCAGCTGAAGCTCACTGGCCATCAGGACGAGTCGAGGCTAACATCACACTCTGGAAGCACATGGCCAAGAAGGTGATTGATACGATGCAGCTTGCCGGAGTTGAGGACATGAAGCTGATGGCGCCTGCGATCAACCAGTCTCGCAATTCTCGTGTCCGACAATGCGGTGCTTCACCATATCAGTGGACTTTCGGTAAGGACCCGAGGATCCCCGACAGCATCACCGATCCAGCTAACTCTGCCGTCGTACATAGCGCCATGACCGCAGATGCCGAGCTTGCTAAATGAGCCCGAGTACGAGCACTCGCAGACATGGCATTCACCGAGTACGACAGGTCCGAGTCTCTCAAGCGCGCGATGCTTCGAGTTAACCGACCTTACCGAGGAGATTACGCACCGGGAGATCGAGTGGCTTTCTGGCGTCAGGCGAAGAACAAGAAGGGCAAGCAATACCCAGCAAGGTTCATTGTGGCTACTGTGGTTGGTCCTGGTGGTAGTGGCGGTGCCGATGACAACAATGTTTGGGTACAGTCTTCAGGACATCCGATCTTGGTTTCAAAAGAACAACTTAGAGAAGCACATGGTACCGAATTGTGGATACCTGATGAGGAGGACCTGACTGAGCTACGCAAGGCTACTCAAGCACCACCCGAACGATTTCACGACGAACGTGCGGTACCACCTGCCGAGATCGACCCGAACGATGTGATCGTGTCTGATCTAGCCGCCGCTCTACGAGATGAAGGAGGACGTGAACACGTTCGAGGACTTCTACCACCTCCTGCTCAGCCACCGGCTGAACCACTACAGCTAACCGAGGCCAGCGGCTCCGGGGACAACATGACGGACAACATATTGCCAGCTGTTCGGCCACTACCCGAAGACGCTGTGGGAGATACTCGAGCTGCCCGCCGACCTCGCTTTGCAGAACCAGAGACGCCAACTACACCGCCTACTTCACAGGCACCAGGTGCGACCTACGTTTGCTTCAACGGCACTGAGCAGAACTCTGCCATCCCGATCCACATGCGCGAGCAGTATACTCTTCTCGAGTCGCCCGCTTACGAGGTCTACCTCAACAACAACGGCAGCTTCACTATGACCAAGAAGGACCAGAAGGCGCTCAGTCGTGAGATCCCCTACTCGCAGATCCTTGCAGATCAGCTACCTCTATTCCGAGAAGCTCTGGCCCGTGAATGGTCATCCTGGCAACGCTTTTCAGCCGTGGAGGTCTTGGATCTGAAGACGTCCAAGTCTATCGAGAGCGACCCCGAGAAGAAGAAGCGCATTATACCATCAAGAGTCTGCTACCGCGACAAGAATGCCGGACGTGGAGTTTCCGAGATCGACGCCAAGGCAAGAATCGTGGGTATCGGCTACAACGACCCCGATATCATGACTCTCAGACGTGACGCACCAACCCTTACGAGAGCTGGTTTCTACATCTTGCTGCAGACGATCTCGAGCTGGGACTTCAACTTGTTCGGAGGCGACGTGACTACAGCCTTCCTACAGGCCGATCAGACCAAGGCCCAGCGCGACAAGCCGATTTACCTTCGGCAACCTTCTGAAGGACTTTCAGGTGTTCAACGCGGTGCTCTTCTACTTGTACGACGTGCCATCTATGGCTTCGTTAATAGCCCTCGCCTGTGGTGGCGAGAACTTCGTGACTTTCTCATGCACATCGGTGGCAAGCAGTGCTTGCTGGACAAGGCTCTATTCTGTTTCTACAACAAGTCACATCGCATCATCATGATTATCGGCATCCACGTGGACGACCTCATCGGAGGCGCAGACGCTCGAGAAGGCTCCAAGCTGTTGGAAACCATCCGCCATCGGTTCACTTTCGGCAAATGGTGGGACAACAAGTTGACCTACTGTGGCAAGCATCTCAGTAAGAACGAGAACGGCACGATTTTCATCAACCAGAAGGAGTTTTGTAGTCAATGCGTGCCGGCACCACTGCCGCGATGGAGATCTGCGACGCCTGAGGCCGAGCTCACTGTCGAGGAGAGGACCAATTTCGCTAGTGGTGTAGGATCTTGTCAGTGGTTGGTTGGTCAGACGAGGCCGGATCTAGCTGCTGCGACTTCTCTTGGACAAGGATCGAATCCGAAGATTTTCAATTTGTTGGCTATTAATCGTATCCTACGCGAGGCGCGAGATTCCCAAGATGTTGGATTATTTGTTGTGCCGCTGGATTTTACGAGAAGCGTTCTCATTACATTTACTGATGCTGCATGGGCTAACGCTCAGGAGAATCAAAGTCAAGCCGGTTTCATGGTTTTCTTGTCAGATCAAGATAGTTTGACTTCCAAGGGTGGAGCGGCTACTCTTCTTGATTGGCGTTCACACCGTATTCGTCGAGTAGTTCGAAGTACTTTGGCCGCCGAAGCAATGGCAATGGATGCTGGTGTGGACACAGCTTATTTCCTACGTCATTTGTTTGCCGAGGTTTTGTTTCGAGACTTCAAGCCGGGAATTTCAGGTAAGCTCCCGAGTTTCTTCATGCCGATTAAGGTGGCAACGGGTTGCAAGTCTTTGTATGACATTCTAACTAAAGAAGGGACCCCATCTACAACGCTGGAACGGCGTTTGAGTATAGACATTGCTGCGGTAGCACATGTTGCCGAAGAATTTGACGACGAGAATCCGAAATCTACTGTGTTTTGGGCGCCGACCGATAAACAAGTTGCGGGTCATTTGACCAAGGTAAAACCTCCGAGTCAGTTACAAGAGATTCTGGCGAAGAATCAACTGAGTCTCCGGACGGATAGCGGATTACCCTCGTGAGTGAACGGTTTCTTTTTCTGTTTCAGAAGGCTAGGTGACACGTCTGAGATGTCACACTTCATTTCCATATTGATGTTTTCCGAGTTTCGCCGCCGCGCGACATTTTATTTTCCATATGGACGTTTTTCGTGTTTTCGCCGCCGCGCGACACTTCATTTCCATATTGACGTTTTTAGTGTTTTCGCCGCCGCGCGACAGCCTGCCCGTACGTTTGCTGCGTAAGCTATCGTGTGAATCCGAGCTTCGGAAGCAGTTTAATTCGCACGTTTGTTCGGGGGATTTTGGGCAACAGTAAAGATAGTGAGTGCAATGTCGCTCACGTTTATCATTGCCCCAATCCCCTCTCTCACGTCTCATGTGCACTGGTTACCCGTGCCTGCTCCCGTTCGCTCCCTCTCACCCGCTGCCTCCGCTGCCGTCTGGGCTTCGGAGGGCCCTTGAGCTGTTTGGCGACAGCGCCCGCTTGTGTGCAACCAGGCGAGAAAAGTCTTTGAGGCTCGCAGAGCCCACACTCCAGAGATCCCAGAGGTCGTGTGCATCGGACCACGCTCCGAGAAACCCTAGTTTCGAGTTAATATTATTGAAGCCCCCTAGGGAGCTCCACCGAAGGCCCCAGTGCCACCGTCCGCATGCGTCCCGAAACATCCAGTTTGGCATTTTCGCCCACCCATTACAGCGTGTCGTGGCCCGTAGGGAGCTCCACCGACAGCCCCAGTGCCACCGTCGCAAGCCTCCCGAAACATCCAATTTGGCATTTTCGCCCACCTAGTACAGCGCTTCGTGGCCCCATAGGGGGCTCCACCGAAGGCCCCAGTGCCACCATCCGCATGTGTCCGAAGCATCCAATTTGACACGTTCACCCACCCAGTACAGCGTCCCGTGGCCACATGCGGAGCTCCACCGACGGCCCCAGTGTTACCGCCCGCACGCGTCCCGAAACATCGACTTCAGCATTTTCACTCACCTAGCACAGCGCTTCGTGGCCCCATAGGGAGCTCCACCGACGGCCCCAGTGTTACCGCCCGCATGCTTCCCCCCCCCACCCAGTACAGCGCCTCGTGGCCCCATAGGGAGCTCCAGCGACGGTCCCAGTGCTACCGCCCACACGCGTCCCCCCCGCCCAGCGCTTCGTGGCCCCATAGGGAGCTCCACCGAAGGTCCCAGCGCTACCGTCCGCATGCGTCCCCCCCACACCTAGTGCTTCGTGGCCCCATAGGGAGCTCCACCGAAGGCCCCAATGCTACCGCACTCATGTGTCCTCTCCACCTAGTGCGGCTATTCGTGGCCCCGTAGGGAGCTCCACCTACGGCCCCAGTGCTACCGCCCGCATGCGTCCCCCCACCCAGTACAGCGCTTCGTGGCCCCATAGGGAGCTCCACCGAAGGTCCCAGGTCTACCGCTCGCATGCGTCCCCCCAACCAGCGCTTTGTGGCCCGTAGGGAGCTCCACCGACGGCCCCACTGCTACCGCCCGCATGCGTCCCCCCCCCCCAGTACGCGCTTCGTGGTCCCGTTGGGAGCTCCAGCGACGGCCCCAGTGCTACCGCCCGCATGCGTCCCCCCACCCATCGCTTCGTGTCCCCATAGGGAGCTCCACCGAAGGTCCCAGCGCTACCGCACACATGTGTCCTCTCCACCCAGTGCAGCGTTTCGTGGCCCTATAGGGAACTCCACCGACGGCCCCTGTGCTACCGCTCGCATGCGTCACCCCCGCCCAGCGTTTCGTGGCCCCATAAGGAGCTCCACCGAAGGTCCCAGCGCTACCGCACACATTTGTCCACTCCACCCAGTGCAGCGTTCCGTGGCCCCGTAGGGAGCTCTACCGACGGCCCTAGTGTTAACGCCCGCGTGCGTTCCCGCCCACCCAGTGCAGCGCTTCGGGCCCCATAGGGGGCTTCACCGAAGAGGATATTCACAAGTGCGGTACTGCACATGGTTGGGCCCTTCGCCAGGATAATGTTGTATGTGTTTTTGCAATGTTTTAGTTCTCCTTCAAACCTCGCCTGTAGGAGGACATGCCCGACCTAATCCCAGCTTCGTCTTAGGTTCGACCGAGCCGACCCCTGGGCAGGCGGCAGTTGTGGGGAGCCTCGAGGGCGAGGGGCGTGCGTCGCGGAGGGGGGGGGTCGTCACGGGAGGGGGTCGGTTTGGCCACGCCCGATGCTCCATGTTGTGCCCCCCAGCCGCAGCCGCCGCCGCCGTCGTTGTTGTCGTCGTCGTCGCCGTCGGCGTCGTGTTTGTTGTCGTCGTCGTCGTCGTCGTCGTCGTCGTCGTCGTCGTCGTCGTCACTCGCCTTATTCCCCCCTGCCCCTCCAGGGTGAGAGACCAGGGGGAACCATGGCAGGCAGGCGAGCAAGCGGCAAGCAGTGGACTCCGGAGGGCCAGTTCTCTCCGCTCCTCCGCCTCGTCTTGTATTCGTCCTCGTCCGCATATCCAGCCGACATCCTCATCCGCACACTCATGCCCACCATCCCTTGGCACATCATAATCACCACG